CCCCAAAACCCCAAAACCCCAAAACCCCATTGAGATTATACAAAGTATCCATTCTGAATATTTTTGATTATTTAATTAAAATATTTATAAAAAAAGTTATGAAATTGTAAAATATTTAGCCAATGATCCCATAAGATCAAAATGCTTATACTAAGGATACATCAGACTTTAGCATTTCCAGAACCTATAATAAATAAAGCTATTCAATGAAGAGAAATTCAAATATAGATATAAGAAACAGGTCATTTCATGGCTAGAAAGAGAGTAGCTTGAATTAAAGAAAGGCGAGTTCAATCTATTATGATGATAACACAGGTGATTATGGGAGAAGAGTTCCATCAAATAAAGGTAGTACGATGAATATAAGAGATCAATCACATTTCAGAAACTAAAGCCAAAACGAAAATAATCACATGTCGAGTCAGTATAACTAGCAATAGTAACAGTTGTAGACAATAAACATGGATAGCAATCAGAGACAATTCATTTAGAAAAATCTACTCTCATTAAGGAAAAACATCGGACACCCTACTTAGTATGGTGGTAACTAAAAACGATTTGATAATACTTCGAGTAACTTCTACGAGAATAAATCCTTTATGAAAAATTCTCTTAAGCAAGATAGTATGCTGATTGATAATGAGAATCATGTGCAGAGTTAATACGTCCAGGAAAGTTTAATAAATAATCAGAAAAATAATAGATCCAAGACTCAAGTCAATAATAAGAATAGTTCATAGCAATTATGTTCACTGATGCTTGATAATGTGCTCAAAGTTCCCTAATGTAACAGACCTGATAGAAATCTAATTAAATAGCTTCTAATCTAGTAGAAGTAGGTCAATAACATCTTTAATGAGAAATTAAGCTTCAAAAAGGCCTAGAGAAATTAATAGTAAAAGTAGAATTACCACTTTAATGGAGGACAATAACTATATGCTCAGCCCTAGATTCATCAATCAGTAATGGGAACCATCCCTATATAGCATATACAGCATAGAAGAGTAAGTGAATAGTCACTGATAATGACTCAAAATTCACATCAATTAATAGAGCTTTCTTAATCACTTGAAACTCAGGCTCACTAGAGATTATCTATGATTAAAATGAAGCAGGAATAATTTGCGACTAGAGAGATGTGGAATGTCCCCAATCTATCTAGAAATACTAATGCTGATACTTCAGCTATTTAAGTAAAGCATCATTATAACGTAAGCAGCATACCATCATAAGATTATTCAAAAAGCTTAATGATCAATGAGGAAGAATTTCTTGATATTTAGAAAGCAAACATTTAGGTGAAAGAAGCTATGATTAAATTCAAGGGAGGGAAATATCACATTCGACCACCTTTTAATTAAGATGAAATGAGTGGAGCTCAAAAGTCAAAGACATCAAGAGTCAGAAATCATTCGTATAATATGAGTGTCCTCCAAACTGAGTATGATCATGATAAGGGGTAGTAGATTAATTAAGACAATCAAAACAGTTTTTTAAATAATCAAACTGATACAAGTTTACTGTAGGAAGAGACTTAGAATTTGGAATTAAAAACCATTGAACTTGAAAAGAGCTAGATAGAAGGACTAAATTAACAGCATATGCAGATAAAAATAACTAAGCCCAGGACTGCAAACAATAATGTACGTAAAAGAAGAGACCTTAGCGATCACATTAATAACTCAAGCATTTACAATAATCCATATGTGAGTTCTAATGTATATGAAAATCTTGGTATGCTGGACAAGACTTTATCAAAATACAATAACAACAATATTAACAACAGTAAGATATCAGTTTTCATGCATCTAGCCCAGCCATCATATAATATGCTTAGTACCGAGAGATAACAGCAAGTATCTACACATGATTTAGTTTCGCATCAAATTATGAATGCGTAGAATCCCTCAACTTTAGTCTTAAATAATTAGGTTATAGTCTAAAATACTGATCCTGAAATACTAAGAGCCTACCAAAACCTTAAAGAAGATTAGATGGTTTTGTTGCATTAAGATAGCATATCTTAGAGTTTTGTAAATGGTCCATTAGCATAATTATTCCCTTAACAGAGGTAAATCCTCTCCAGGTCACGAATGATGCTGCTATAGTAAATGCACCCTCAAACTTTTTAAGCCAATAATGGTGTCATTAATGATAAGGGTTAAAGCAAGAATTAGCATATCGCCATCAAGGAGGATAATAATCTTAAAAAAGGTAAAATTAGAAAATTACACTACCATTAAGTGCAGGTAAAGCAATTGCGTGGTCAGTAAGATCTGAGTTAAAGTAATAAGACATTTACCGCTAAATTGAATACCACTGAAGATAGTCACAATGATTTGAATTCTTCAATTGACAACAAGAAATTCAAAAAGAATATTTTGGATTAGAATGCTAATGGGGCAGACTCAATAGAATAAGAAGATCTCAAACCGAGTCAATATCATTCTAAAAAGAAAAGAAGTAAGTCATTTGCAAAGCCACCTAATGCTGCAGGTGTAAGTCTCGTAAATTTTAATTTAAGATCTTCTAAGGATCTCACTTAATAGCAAAAGCATTAATGATTTTTGGAAATTAATTTTATACTCAAAAAAACAAAATTTAATATCATAATTGATTTAATAATTTCTAAATTAATTAAAATATTTCTTCTAAACTTCGAATGCTACTAGAGGGGTTTTGGGGTTTTGGAC